ATGACAAGGGCTCCGTAAAGTAGCTATCTCTAGGGGAGTGATAAATGCTGAAACAATACTCGGCAGAGGGAAGGGATCAGAGTGAGTGTTAAATAGTGAGGGAGTGATATGAAACAGCTGGGTGCAATCAGTGTAAACAGGTGTGTGCAATTCGTGCTGAGTGCAATCAGTGCAATGCATGATGGGAAATGTAGTCCGGGGTGCTATGCAACAGTTTGTGTGGTGCGAGAGTCAATGAAAAGGAAAGTTCATGGACCGGATTCGTGACAAAGGGGAAGAGAAAACTAGAGGTGCACGTAAAAATCTATTCATATATGAATCGCGATTCTGTCTTCTAACGATTCTAATGGATTCACAAGTTTCAAAATCAGTGTTCTAAAGCAGCGGTTCTTAATACTGTTCCTCGCGTCCCCCTGCTCTGCATCTCTCTCGCTCTCTCTCCCTCTCTCTCATTCAGCTCACCTCCAACAATGAACTGTTCCAATTATACACTTATTTTCACATAGCTATGAGAAGCATTAAACATGGATGCGCGTGCAGATGCCGTACTGTATTAAAGCTTTAATCAGGATAAAACTGTATATTAAAAGCTAATATAAGCAGTAGCATTTACAAATGCTGGCGGGACGTTTAGACGCGCGCTAGAGGCGGTTTAGCCAATCACAACACACTGGGCTAGCTAACCAATCAGAGACCATCGCCTATTTCTTAGGGAGGGGCTTCATAAAAGGAGGAAATGATCAGCCCGTTTCTCAGAGAAGGGACAGAGCAGTGTGGAATAAAGGTAAATTATGTGAAAATAATGTGTTTTTAAAAAAACAAAGCATTAACACGTTAGACTGCACCCCATAAACACAATCAAGCCTAGAAAAAACCCAGTGAACCACCCCTTTAACTGTAGCAGCAGTGTCACCTGCAATTTTTTTTTTTAAATAATAATGATACTGGCATGACAAGTTCAAATGCATAAATATAAATATATGAAAATATGCTTATATACTTTTGTACATCTCCATCAGTCAAATATAGCAATAAATTCAATCCATCATACTGGACTTACCAATTTGTGTCACTGATGTTAAACTTATGCACCGAGATCCACGGTCACATGTTTGTATTACCTTTTGATCTGGACACGAACCCATCTGACTTGCACACTGATAACAGCTGAGAGAGTATCAGTATCCTTTAGAAATAAAACAAGAGAGAGACAGTGAGAGCGAGAGAGAGGAGAGAGATCCTGTATTTGCACATAATAACATTATAAACCAACACTTTGTCTTTGTACCTTCAGTGAAAAGAATAAAAAGAAGGACAACTGAGATTTGCAGATCCATCTTTGGTCAGGAGGCAAATTAAATAATGTGTTTCAGTGATCATTTTATATCCTAGCAAAAGGGATGGGCCTTCATGAGATAATGACATCTTAACAGGAAGTAATTAAACAAGTAGATATTTCATGAAATAGAAATTAGTAATAAGGAAATTATAGATTTTTTTTAAGGAACATGTACAGTAGGTCTCTTTAAGTCAATCTGTTAACAATAAAGACATTAGAAAATGGACAGAATTTGTCACATTAAATCTGCTTTTAAAACTTATGATAGAGGTAGCCTACTTTCTCTTTCTGGGCAGTTTCTCAAAATCATTTCTCTTACATTTTTAAAATAATTACAATTTTTTAATGTTTTTGAAAGACGCCTCTTATGTTCACCAAGGCTGCATTTATTTGATCTGAATATACAGTAATGCTGTAAAATGTTATTACAATTCATAAAAATACATGTTTTTGAATACATTTTAAAATGAAATTTATTCCTGTGATATAAAATATCTATAAAGTAGACACTTGGATATTCTTACCCGTTTGCAGGAAGTAGTGTATTGGGGGAATACAAAGCAGAAGTGACTTTTCCCA